GAACCCTTTTGCAAGTCGTTCATACTTCTTCAGCGTGCATTCTCACGGTTCCCAATGTTGTTAAATAATGTTATTAACTGTGTCATTGTAACTTAGCTTGTTTTCATTGTTATTCTTTGCATCGTTTTATTTTTTTCTGGTTGTGTCTGTAATATTGCTATTTACTTTTTTGCCCTATCATATATCGTAATGCCAGGTGCTTTGGTTCCCCTCTATAATATGACATTTGAATGCTGAAAAATGTTGTTCAGCTGTGATGCTATTCAGGCAGTAAAATCTCATAATCGCGTAATAACAGTTGATTAATTACTTATCTTAAACGTTGTACTAGACAGGATGCAGGTTGTTAATAGACGGCAAAACAAGCTTGGTTTGCAGAACAGTGTTTTCAGAAGAAACTTTTTGACTGACTATTCCGTTTTTCCACTATGGTGTTGGATGCTGTTTTCTCGGTTCAAGTACCGGCCAGTGATGATGTTTTTCAGTTGAATGATTCTCATCTCCGTGTTGTCCATCGTACGGAGTTCACGCATGTGGACAATATGTATGAACTGGCCAAAAGCTTAGGTTTCGGTTGGTGAACAGTCAGAATCACCATACTGTCTACTGATTTACGAATATTTACTGTAATCTTGCAATTACCGCTATAAATGATCGGAACTTTTTTTACTTCAAAGTATGGGTAAGAGACAATGCTCTTTGATATTTCATGCTATCACACCTGGAATTTTGAATACGAGTGAAATTTGCAATTACGTCTGTCGTTCAGTTTCAATGACCGCTTATCATTTCGGGTCATGGAGACAGTAGGACAGTGTCTATAGCATTCCTGATCACGTACCATGGCTTCAGCGTCGGTAGATTTAGGAAGTACTAAAGAACTTAAATGTTAATGAATGGAGAACATGCAAGAGTGGCGATCATCAGTTTTGTTTCTGAAATGTTTACTGTGTAGAATTCTTTAGGTACGCTGCTTTCTGTTTGTTCTACGCTCTTCTGGATGGCTTTGTTCAACATATTCTTTGGCTCCTATTTCGTGTACCAAGTAAACTTGTACCTTGGTCTGACACTCATGTGCGGCTTTGTCTTGTATGACACCCAATCCATCGTTGAAAAGTGCCGCATGGGTGACACGGACTACGTCTAGTAACTCATTAATAAATTAATGCCGAGTTGTCTTAAAGCTTTTAATTTTGTTTCTTTAGTCACTCGATGAATCTGTTCATCGATTTCATCGGGATGTTTACTCGTTTGCTTATCATTCTCACACAGAAGGAGGTAAAGGAGGTACATATTGGTTTTGACATATTCGTTTTTATACATCTTTTTAGGATCGTAAAAAGAAGAACAGAGATTAAACACTGGCCCGGCTTTTGTCTTATAAGAAGTAAGTAAAATCGAATTAATGATTTAGATAAAATATTCAGTACATCGTTTCCCTATGAGGAAGAACACTGTGACTTAATAGGCTAATACCGTTGCAAACTTTTCTACATAAAGTTGATAAGGAATGTATAATAAAAACTGCAGTTTAAAGTCTGATAATTTGCTGCTAAAAAAATCATCGAGAAATTTTACTATTCAGCTTGAGAAATAAAAATGCAACTTAGAGTAAAGTATGTGTAAAGGATTGTTGACAATAATCCTATATCCGCCTTGATGTTTTTCAAAGTCAGTAATAAAACAGGAAATCGAAATCGATGTCTTTCCTTATGATTGGTTTTTGTTTATGACTAACTTTATTATGAATTTATAACATTAGGGATAAAACTTAAATGTAGCTTTTGCTATAGTGTCAGAACCGTGGATCTAAATTTTATACCAGCAGTTCAAGTACTTGTATATTTTTTGTATACAAAACATTTTTGTACACGTTTTATCGTTGCTTTACCGTTTTTCTTTTAGAAAACTATCTGTTATAAGACGGACAACTAGGTTGAAGCTTTTAAGTTTACCGCCAGCCTATTGTTATGGCTTAATTAAATGTCTAAACAACTGCAGCTTTTACTTAGCTTTGTGTGTCTTCGCGTCATTCTATTTACTTGTGGTTTTTCGTTCGGTCAAGGTTGTTTTGTACTGAAATTTCATATTTACTGCTATAAATCATGCTGCATTGTATTTGGGTTTCTTGCGCCACACGCTTTTGAAAGATGTTATTGCCGGAAACTAGATATATCCGAAATAGAAAAGATATATCCGAAATGTACCGTTGTAGGAGAAAATAGCAGATTAGTGGCTAGTGCAGTGTTAGAGCAGGAAAAAGGAACGTTCGAATGACCGATCTACAGCTGGCAACTGAGTTACTTCCGGTTTAATTAGAGGCTAAGTATAATTTAGCCAGACTTCAATAATGTGAATATTCTGGGTCAGTGTGAGCTTCCCGTAAAAGCTTTTCATCTTAAGACATCCTTGAACTTAAATGTCAAATTTGTTTTAATTCCGCAAGAACGAACGCACTTTCAAACTGAATTAAGAAAACAATAGAGTTCGCAATCGTAAACAAAATATACGACTAGAACCAGAAGAGCAACAAGTTCCTACTGAATCATGGTTTCGTTTCAAATGAATTTCGAATAATCGGCAGGTGTTCAGGGCGTAATTCTCTGACGTTTCAGTAATTATAAGAGTATATGAAAGTTTCGTTGTTAGTTGTTACGTGATGCATCGCTGGTCCATAGTAATCAAGGAAATAGCCTCGACCGTCCGCCGGCTGAACTACCTGAACAACGTGTGGATTAACGGCATTTACCGACCGAAAACAAATAGCACGAGTGCAAGACGAAATGCCGCTTAAACAGTTATAGACACAACAGATAAACAGATGGTGGTCCTTTTTTATAACTACCGACGTTTAACGTCGAACTACGCTGGCCATCCTCAAATCAGACTAGTTTATTGTACTACAATATAGCGCTCCAAGAACAGATTTCGCTGTGCACTGCCCCCTAACGGCTTACGGGGAGGGGGCATTTAAACAGGTATTGCAATATGGTACTTCAGTACCTACAGTGCTAGATCGATCTTTCATCATTTTTTCGCTAGGGTCATTTCGCGCTCATCAGGAATGTTCAGGAATGTCTCAGGCGCTGATACTCTATATGCTACCCCATAAACATGTTCGTAGATAGACCAGACTAATTCAAGTAATGCATAACTCCTTCAAGACCCGATTTCAAGTCATAAGATCCCATGAAGAGCGGGTCTGATGAAATGTCCCTCCTACGGAACTAGAAACGGACGGGTGCAATACGTTATTACGTTAGAAGAGTCAGCACTGTTTGACATACTTATGTGCACGAAAATATTTTGATGTTCATGCAATAGCATAAAAGAGGTACCAACTGCTGAAATCGCTTGTACTGAGCGCGAAGCGGCAATAGCAGACAAAATGACGGAGAATATCGGGTGTAAGAACACGTTCTGATGTTAACGCAAAATACTACAATCTCTCTGTTCCTTATATTTGTTCAGAACCGTGAAGACATTTTATTGAGGAATGAAGAGAAAAGTGAAACGAGTTTTCACAAATCATCCATCTAAAATGTACAAAAATGGTATTCTTTTGGATTTCTGTCCTTGACAAGAATACCAGTAGGTAGTAAATTCTACAATGTAAAAAGATAATATACATAGAAACTTTATATTGGCTTGATCTATGAATTTTAATTATGGTCCTTCACTTTAGACAATTATGGATCTTGATCATTATTAATTCTGATCGGAAGGACTGAAAGGAACACACTCAGTCAGCCTGCGCTTATCTTTTATGGTGGCGGAGATAAAAGTCTCAGACAGTATCCTGTAACAGCATTTGAGCTCCGGCAAAGGATTACCCGGGTCTGGAGCAGAATCCTTTAAGGCAATTGGCTCAGGTTATTCTTGGCCGTCGCCAGGGCTTTAATCAGTCGGTAGGGCAAAGTGTCGCTTCTCGCAATGCGTGCATAAACCATGACAGCTGTGAGTGACTTCTCAATCTGGAGAAGCCATGGCTACACATAAAGGCTCTCTCAGACTCTGTAATCCGGTCCATGTCGAGACGCTTGAGGGCAGCCATTCATCTCAAAAAGCCTATTTCAGCCACCGATGATATTTGGCACATCGCTGTTACTGTTTAAATCAACAATTTATAATCAGCTTCGGGTTGATCGAATGCCCCGGAATTAATTAAATATGGAAAAAAAGGGAATGGCAGAAAGTTCCATCTACTGTAACATCAAATATGAACCTCCAAACGCTTCCCAGGAGCATTGAAACGTGGAGTAACTGACCCTGTATTTAAAGAGGGTTCCATTTGTCATGGTATCACATTACTGTTAATTCCAGGGAAACTCTTCTGGACATTCACGGAAGGACTGATAAAGGTAGTTGACGAGAGATTTTGCGCAATCAAGCAGGCTTATGGATGGGGTACTCACACCAGGACTAGATCTGCAGACTGCAATGCCGACGATACCAGTTGCCTTTACTTGCAAGTTTCCTCGGTTTTAAGGCTGTATTTGCGATACATCGTCAGACGATGTGGAGAACGTTGAAGTGCCACGGGATACCTGAGCACATTTTGGAAGAAATGTATAGAGAAACTGTCTGCTGTCAAAGATGAACGAGAGCTGCCTGAATGATTTCCTATTAACCGTGGAGTTCGTTAGAGAGATATGCTTTCGCTTCTACTATTCAAGATTGTTCTAGATTTTCTTTTCCAAAATAGTGCTGACCTTGGCAAAAACGAAAGTCACATTTTACAGTGAAGGCAGAGTTTAGAATATCCGATTAGATACCATGCTGACTTTGAGCATGCAGATGATGTTGTCCTGGTGAGTAGTACTGGAAGCGAGTTCTCGCATCTGAAGACTTCTTTATACAACATAGCTGTGAAGGTGGGCATCCTCCTTAAGGCCCGTTATTCGAAAGTTATGAGGAACCCCTCTAAGACAGCTGAACTACGAGTGAAACAAGGAGGTGAAGCATTTCGGGATGTTGACCAGTCTGAGTATATGGAATTCATCTCCAGCGATTGCAATATCGAGTCAGAGTTAAACAGGAGAATCACCCTACCTTCGAGAGCTTTCGCAAACCTGTACAATATTTCGGGTGAAAAAGTACTACTCTTCCAAAGAAAATCCCTCTGTACAATACCTTGTAGCTACCATGAACCACAACGCCAAGATCAGTGTTGCTGTATGGCATTGAGACAGGTACTAAAAGAGGAGCAAGAACAACGGTTGATCTGCGTGCAGCAGCGTTTGTTACATGGCAAAAGTCAAATGGTAAGACATGTAAGATATTCACTCTCGGACAAACATGAACTCAGTAGATGTGAAGATTAAAAAAATCAGGTTAGCTGTGTTAAATAAGCTAGTCGAACATACACTGTTTATTCCAGGCCATGAGTTTATGTGGGTGCCGGAATATGGCAGACGTCGACCAAGCGACCAACATGCAACATGAAGAAACAACGTAGAGACAGATCTGATTTCTCAGAAGTGTTGAGAAGCTGCGAAAACAGCGGACATCACAAACTAGAGACGTCTGCTGATGCAAACAGCTCAAGGTAATGATCTCAACAACAACAACAGCTTATAATACGCATGTTATATTGAAAATAGTACAAAACACGGTTTATTTATACACAACAGATAATCTAATCAATGGGATGTTTAACCAGTATTGACGCTTCACACTGTTTGATGGACCTTTTCAAGGTATAGAGGTGGATTGTTTTCGAAAGTTTTTTTGTCGTTCACAGCAGTTCGGAGTCAGGATGCCAGAACGTCGTTACTGATCAATCATTCGATTGATTATATTGTTGGCGCTGTGTATAAATAAACTCTGTTCTGTACTCTTTTCAAGACGTTCACATGAAATACTCAACCTTATGAAACATGTTCTGTTTTTGCATCGTACATTTTCCGTCACAGAGCCGCTAATTAAGAAATGACTAGAAACTTGTTAGACAACATTTACTTAAAAAGATGGTTTTACTAAATAACCAAGATGAACGAAATACCTGCAGAGCGATCAGTATGATATCCAGCAAATGGACCAAGAAAAAAAAGCCACATGTCCATAGCTTGAACATACCTTAAGTAGAGTATCAAAAGCACAAACAATACAAATACTGGTTTACCAATTGTAAAATAGCCCAGGTAAAATCTGTCCAGTCCCAGCCAACCAAAAA